GTTTTGATCAAATCCATGCCTACTCCCTCCCTTTCAACACCTCCCATATCTCCCCATCACTTTTTTTCTGATAACTTCATGTACTCTTTCCTCTTCTTCTTCTTCTCCTCCCCCCCCTCCTCCTCCTCCTCCTCCACCCCTCCTCCTCCCCTCGTCCTCTTCCTCCTCCTCCTCTTCCTCTTCCTCTTCTTTTTCTAAGGCAGGATCTCTTGTATCTCAAGTTAATTTTCTATGTAATTGCAGATGAGTTTGAACTCCTGATCTTCCTCCCTCTACCTCCAAGTGCTGGGATTACAGGCGAGTCACAACACCCAGCCCCATAATGTATAGGTGAACATTCCATGTAAGCTGTTAGTGAACTATTGAAATACTCTATAAATGTCAATTCGATCCAGTTGATTGACAGCTCAGTGTTATTATGATATATGTTTCTCCATTCCCTTACTTTTAGCTATATATATGCTTATAGTTAAGGTGGTTCTTTTGTGGGCAAAATATAGTCTTTAAAAAAAACTAGACAGTCTTTGTTTCTGAATTGGTGCGCTTAGTGTGTTAACCACATTAAGGTTTAAAGTCATTATTGATGTAGTTATTACAACCGTATGGATATAAACAAGCATCTACCATGTTTGTTACTTTATCCTCATTGTCCTTATCTTTGTTTGGTCAAGTGGGTTTTGTTGTTTTGTCCTTTTTCTGTCTTCCTTTTCTGTCTTCTCTTTTTATCATTTATTTATTTTACATGTGTGCATGCATGCGTGTATATGTATGTTCGTGTGATGGCACACACAGAGTTCAGAAGACAACTGGCAAGAATTGGTTTTCTTCTTCTACCATGTAGGTTTTAGGTGGTCAGGCCTGGTGGCAGGTGCCTTTACACACAGCCATCTCACTGGCCCCTTCTCTGATTTTAACCAGGCATTTTATATGAACTTTTCAATATGGATTACACTTCTGATTTTAAATTCTGTGTTTAAGTTTTACCCCAAACTTTGCAATATTCATTTACAACTAATCCAAATGACCTTATAATTTCTTCCCTGATAAATAGAAATACCTTATAACACAGTATTCCAATTCTTCCTCTCATTCCCCACAGCATCATTTCCACTATCCATAGCTATAGACAAATATATTGTTTTTATTATTTTGAACAAACTGCTATCTGTTGGGGCAACTAAGAGTAAGAAAGCCTTTTCCTTCACTCATGCCTTCTTCTCTGCCTTCCTTCATGTAGACCCAAGTTTCTGACCTCAGTGAAATGTTAAGAATGTCCCTTGGGACTGGAGAGATGGCTCAGTGGTTAAGAGCACTGGTTGCTCTCACAGAGGACCCAGGTTCAGTTCCCAGCACCCACATGTTGGCTAACAACCATTTGTAACTTCAGTATCAGGGGATTCAACACCCTCCTTTGACCTCCACAGGCATTGTATGACACAGGTGCACTTACATGCATGCAGGCAATACACTCATACACAAAATATAAATAATAAAATAAAATGTAAAAAAAGAATATCTCTTAACATTTCCTGCAAAGCAAGTAAGGTGTAGGAAAGTAGATGACTGCTGTAGTCCTATGGCTAGGGTCAGTCTCTCGGTGAGCCTGTGCTCTCAGAACTATCTCTAGTGCCCTTCACTAGTGTCTCTCAATCCTGCCACCCAAGTGAGACAGAAAGGGAGCAGGGGTTGGGCATTTCTCTTCCCTGATGTCGCTTAGGTTCTGGTAATACCCTAGGTATTTTTTTATACACTGGAACTTGGTTCCCCTTAAGGATGGTTTCAGGGACGCCTTTAGAACAGGGACGCCTTAAAGAAAACAGAATGCTCTGTGTACATTTCAAAATAGTCGATTTTTCTTTCCTCAAGCTATTTTCCTCTGAACTATACCTGAGAATCTGGCAAAGCTCCTAGAGGGAAAATTCCCAAGAATGGAGACCCCCAAAAGACTGCATCTCCTGGTTTTTAACTTCCAAACTTGCCCACACGAAACCTCCACAAATTCACTACTATAGCTTAAATTATGCTGGCTCTGGCTGCCAACTGGCTCCTGAGCTACTGGTCTGGTAAGGTAAGGTACTAGTATTCAAATGATTCACCAGTCATGTGGGATTGACAGCCTAAGAAGAGTTGCTGGTTTTCAGTTTGCTCTTTCTTCCTTCTGAGGATGATAATATTACCCAAGCTCCTTACATGTCAGACCAGAAGTTGAATGTCAGTCTCCTATTTTGTATCTATTTTTGCTTAACTACTAACATGAACATTTTCTATACTTTTTTTTAAAACCTTACAGTCCTTCCTTTTCAATGGCTATGATGGTCAGTCTTGTTTGGCAGCCTGATTGGATTAAGAAGGACTTAAACAGTCTCACTATGGGTGTGTCTGTGGTTTCTGAGGAGGATTAAGGAAGTGGGGAAAGCCACTGTGGACACATTATGGACAACATTATCCCAGAGTCTGGCATTCTCATTCTCTCTCTCTCTCTCTCTCTCTCTCTCTCTCTCTCTCTCCCTCTCCCTCTCCCTCTCCCTCTCTCTCCCTCCCTCCCTCCTCCCCTTTCCCTCTCCTCCTCCCTCTCCCTTTCCTCTTCCTCAGTACCATATATGAGCTGCTCCACTCTACCCTACCCATATTGATGTAGTGACACTATGAGCCAAAATGTATCTTTTCTCCTTTTTTGTTCTGTCAGATACTTTGTCACAATAACAAAAATCTAATAGAGAAAATTGACAATGGAGAAGTGGGTTCACTGCTGTGACTAAACAATGTAGTTCAGAAAGAAGCCTTTGGAACCGGTTTTTGGAAAGAATCTGGAAAAGGTTAGAGATGTGGACTAGAGAATCTCTAGAATGGTATAGGCAGAGCTTGATGGGTAATTCTGGGGTGTCTCAAAAGCCAACATGCTGACAAGAATGCAGACAGTGAAGGTCAGACTGATGAAGTTTTAAGTGGGGATGTCCTGGAAACTGGCCTAGAGTCTGCTCCTGCTACATTATGACAAAGAACTTATCTGTGTTTTGCCCATTCCCCAAGACTATGTGATTGGCTAAGTTCAAAAGGGATCCAATAGAGGCCCAGTGTGGTGGTCCATGTCTTTAATCCCAGCACTTAGTAGGAAGAAGCAGGCCAGCCTGGTCTACACAGTCAGTTCCAAGTCAACTGTGGCTATAGGGAGACTGTGTTTCAAAAAATACCCCCAAAAAACAAAATTAATAAAAATAACATTGGGGATAATGAAATGCTCAAAAAATTTTTAATTAATAATAATAAAGTTGGAGATAAGGAACATTTTGCTGCTGCCAATATGAGGGCCATTAAAAAGAAGCCAAGAAGCTGGGCATGGTGATACAGACCTCACATAAACAATTTAAGGAAGAAAAGATGTGGCTGTGATGGTTAATTGTGTCAGTTTGATTAGATTGAGATTTGTAAAACGTCCTTAAGGGCTGATTCTAAAATTTGGGTGGGATAATATTCCCCACCTACATGGAAGTACAAGGCACACAGCAACAAGCAGGGTTGTAAAATAACTGAGGCTGGTAATCTAAAGGCTCACAGTTTAGCTCAGTTTGGGGGACTGAAACCCATGATTGTATATCCCCATCTGCTCAGCCTCTGGTGAGGGCCCCCTTGGCTATATCACAACATGGAAGATGGAGTCGTGGTGGGAGTACATATGAGACAGAGAGATCACACAGTGTAACAGGAAGCCAGAGTGAAGGGAAGGGCCACACTTGCTCTTTTTATAACACGTCACTATAGCAAGAAATAACTCACTCCTTGGAACCAGCATTAATCCCTTCTGAGAGCCATGTCCTGATGATGGAATTAGCTTCCACTACCCCGTTCCACCACCTCTCACATGACCACATGAGAACCAGGCTTCGAGCACATGAACTCTTAAGAATACATTCAAACTAGGGCTGGAGAAGGCTCAGCAGTTAAGAGCACACATTCCTCTTGCAGAGGACCAGAGTTCAATCCCCAACATCCATGTTAAGCAGCTCTCAATCACCTGTAACTCTAGCTGCAGGGGATCAGCCATGGACACTTGCACACATGTGTACATACCTACACACAAACACATGATTAAAAAATAAAAAATTTCCAGTATTATGCAAAGGATTCTTTGTTTGATTTACTGTCTCCATCAGAAAGAAAAATTTGCTAGTACATTAGGAATTGGTAATATGTGTGTGTCTGTCTCTGTGTGTGTATACATATATATATTTAATGGAAGAAAATATTGGTATAGGAACTAATGAAAGAAAGCTTGTCCTAAAATCAACAGCAAATTATTTGTTATTTTTATGTGGTCTGTAACAGAAAGTTCAAATTATTTGGAGAGCTAGAAGAATAAACAATAAAGATCTTGGGGGGTGGGGAGATGGTTCAGAAGTTAAGAGCATTGACTGCTCGTGCAGAGGACCCGGGTTCAAATCCCAGCTTCCACATCATGGCTAACAACCATCTATAACTCCAGTTCCAGGGGATCTGACTCCCTCTTCTGATGTCCACGGGCATTGCATGACAGTTGCACTCACATGCATGCAGGCAATACACTCATACACATAAAATAAAAAAAAAATTTTTTAAATAATAAAGATCCTGGGGCTGGAGAGTGGCTGCTCAGCAGTTAAGAACACTTGCTGTGTGCCCATTTTGGTAGCACATATACTAAAATTGGAATGATACAGAGAAGATTAGCATGGCCCCTTCACAAGGATGACACACAAATTTGTGAAGCATTCCATATTTTTAAAAGGTGGGGGAGGGCTGGAGAGATGGCTCAGTGTTTGAGAGCTCTTGCAGAGGACCAGGGTTCAAGTCCCAGCACTTAGCTAAAAACCATCTGTAACTCCAGTTCCAGGGGGTCCAACACTTCCCGATCTCCTAGGGCATTGCACAACATGGGTGCGCTTACATACTTGCAGGCAATACACTCATACACATAAAATAAAAATAATTTTTAAAAAATGCTATACTTCCAGAGGACACGTTTGGTCCCAGCACCCACATGGCAGCTAACAATCATCCATAACTCTAGTTCCATGGAATCCAACACCCTCTTCTGTACTCTTTAGGATTTGCATGACATGGGAGCACTTACATACATGCAGGTAATACACTCATATACATAAAAAATAATAAAAATGGGCCGAGCGTGGTGATGTACACCTTTAATCCCAGCACTCAGGAGGCAGAGGCAGGCAAATCTCTGTGAGTTCAAGGCCAGCCTGGTCTACATAGCGAGTTCCAGGCCAGCTGGGGCTATAGGGAGACCCTATCTCAAAAAGACCAATAATAATAATAATATTATTATAATAAATAAAAATTTTAAAAATAAAGATCTTGTCCAGTAAACTGGATGGATTTGGATAAGTCCTGTTCATGAATAAGAATAATTAATTCTTTGTTGATTTGAAATGAAAATATTTTTTGTTTGGGTATATTGGGTAAAAATAACCCATTCTAAACCATTCTAAAATTTTTAAAACAGGAGTTACTGTCTAGTCATTGCTTCAAGGAGTAAAAGAGTTTTTAAAACAAACAAGTAAATTTAACAATATATGAGAAAATTGTTTTAAATTCACTGTCTACCTGTAATTGCTATAGTTAAGACTTAGGGAGGTGCCACAATATGACCAGGTGAATTTAAATCAGTGTCTTCTTTAAGAGAAGTAAAAATTTGAGAAAACACCAAATTGAGGATTTTGAGGAAAGGTTTAAGTCAATTGGAACACTAAAAGCTGTTAAGAAGAACCTAATGTTATATGGGTGGACAGATTAGTGACAAGCACCAGGCATGGTGGTACACACCTTTAATCCCAGCACTCAGGAGGCAGAGACAGGCAGATCTCTGGGTTCAAGGGCCTGGTCAAAGACCAAAAATATATATATATTAGTGACTAAATATCCCACTAAATAAACTTTTAGTCATATCTTATTTGATGTAACCTGAAAATAAAGTTTTTTGATGAAGCTTATAAATCTTTCAAAACAATTGGATTTATAACTTTAGTAAAGACTAATAAAATAGCCATAAAATGAAATATATATTATGACAATTTTTCTAATAGGTGTATTGCATTATATACCTGATATTGACAAAACGTGGCTGTATATGCCTTGAGAAAAATAAAGTCCATTTAAAATTCATGGTGGCCCACGCCTTTAATCCCAGCACTTGGGAGGCAGAGGCAGGCGGATCTTTGTGAGTTCGAGGCCAGCCTGGTCTACCTAGTGAGTTACAGGACAGCTGGGGTTACAAGGAGACCCTGTCTCAAAAAAAAAGACAAAAAAATTATATTATTAGACATAAATGCCTAGTTATTGAAAGCAAGCACAGAAATGGCAAATCTTCAAAAGGGCAAACTTTTACTATGACAGAAGAATGAACTCTGGGTCTGGTCTTGCTTAAATTTTTTATTGAATTTTAGTGCATTTCATACAATTCATCTTAATCATAGTTAGACCCCCTTCCCTATCTGCACCACCCCCCAATACCCTTCCATCAGATTTCATAGGCTCTATCACATATGTTAAGCTCTGTCAAGTCAAGTTTGTGTCCCCAAACATCCCTCGGTGTGAGCCATCTACTGGAGCCTGATCAACCTATCTAACATCACTCCCTTAAAGAAAACCAGTCCCCTCTCACCCAGCAGTTATCAGTTGCCAATAGTTCCTCATCTGGGGGGCTGGAGAGATGACTCAGCAGTTAAGTTGCTCTTGCAGAGGACCCAGGTTCAAGCCTCAGCACCCAGATGGTGACTAACAGCCATCTGTAACTCCAGTTCCAAGGGAATCTGATGCCCTCTTCTGACCTCTGTGGTTATTGCATGACACAGGTGCACTTACATACACATAAGCAATATACTCATATACATAAAATTATTTTTAAAAATAGTGCCTCAGCTAAGGATATGGCATTTTCTATAACCCTGGGAGAAAACACCACCCAGCAGGCAAAACGTTTAGCTGCCATTTTTGCTCTCAATTTCCTAATTAACTTTTCAATTTACTATATAGCTATCAATATTTACCTCTATTTAAAACCTCCTTCGACAACAAACTTACCCTATTTATATTTCAAAGCATTTTGATACCATACAGCATTACTGGGCTCCACAGAAGGAAATCATCATACTAACTCTCTAGCTGTCTTTTCAGTTACAAGTACAAACTCAACAAATTATACATCCTGTCTTGACTGCTGATCAACAGGCATCATCATCTTGAGAGAAGCCAAACTCCAGGTATTTGTCCTAATGAACTTTGGCAAATGAAAATAACTTACATAAATTCCCTTGGTGATTTTTAAATTGGTTCATATATATGTTAATACTTTTTAAGATTTTTTTTTTCACTACTGCTCAAACACGGCTTGAGCTGCTTAAAACACAAATCAAAACAAACAGTTGTCCTGTATCTAAAATTTTTAATCTCTTTTTGTCAAAGGTTTTGGAAAAGTTTTGGAAAGTTCATGTCGCTCGTGACATCCCCTAAGTACAAACCATAATTATGTTCCTTTATTATTCAAAAATTTAATGCATAAAAAAAAGAATTAAGGATTAACTGCTCAGGAACAAATTGTACTTTACATCTTTAAAAAAAAAAAAAAACTTTAAGGGGCCGGAGAGATAGCTCAGCAGTTAAGGACACTGGCTTCTCTTGCAGAGGACCGAGGTTTGGTTCCCAGCACCTACATGGCAGCTAACAACCATCTGTAACTCTAGTTCCAAGGGATTCAACACCCTCTTCTGACCTCCTCAGGCACTGCACTTAGATATACACAGCCAATACACTCATACACATAACATTAAAATCATAAAACATAATATATTTTATTAAAAATTTTAAAAAATTTTAGTTGCTCCCTCAATTCTCTCCCCTGGCAACTGCTGGAAAAGCATCTTTTAAAAAAAAGCTTTATCGAAGTCCACGGTTTTGTATACTAAATTAACTAATGACTGGACCCAGCTTCTCTCACTAACTGAAGCAGAGACCCTGCGTCCGTGCTTTCTCCTACAGGCCTCCTTGAATCCTAGTGTGACTGGTAAAGCCATACCAAAAAACAACACCTCGGCAAGAAAGACTTTTCCCTGAAATTCAACCATGAGTAAATAGCTGTCACGTTCTGTGTGCCTTCTCCAGTGTGCTCTGCCTACTCCAGAGCCCTACGATGGCATCATGCTGACCTAGGCAGATTCTCTAGCACACCAGCACGCTGCCTGCCAGTGACTAGTCCACCACCTGTGATAAGTGATCACCAGTGACCACCCCATGAACATCCCTCTCCATTTATAAAACAAAGAAAGGGAAACTTTGGGGATGATTTGTATTAATAGACACAATCTGGACTTATGACTTTTAATTAACTCCATCAAAAGCATGCACTCTTTCATCGATGTCCCAGGCCTCTCCTTGGTCACCTCAGTTTGGTACTCCACTCAAAGAGATAATGAATGTGGGTATGTTTGAAAATTAACATAGCAAAGCACTGCGGGCAGTGCACCCACTCATCTCCTTTAGGCACAGTGGAGATTGGGGAGGACAGGTGACCTTGGATGAATGTGAACTAGGGATAAAAAGACCGGATGGTCTGTGAAGATTAAGAACAGAGCCAAATTTGAACTTGTACTTCCCCAATGAAGCTGGAGAAACCATTTTGAATAAATTATGAGTGTGGCCTGACAGGGGCATGGGGAACGAGGGATAGGGGGGTGGGGGGCAGGGGCGGAGGAATGAGGGGTGGGGACAGGAATGGACAGCAGGAGAAACAGGGCTCTAGAGACAGTTCGATAGGCACAGGGTGAGAATACAGACAACTCCATCTGCACAGGTTGAGGGGACAAGAGAGATCCATTAGCACAGTTCTGGGAGACAGATGGTTCTAATAGATAGAACTCTATCAGAGGGGAACTCTACTATCCTCCAAGTTTGGGCCCACTCTTAAAAATTTAAAATAAATAAATAAATATTCTAAGAAAGGGGGCTGGAGAGATGGCTCAGCAGTTAAGAGAACTGACTGCTCTTGCAGAAAACCCAGGTTCCAATCCCAGCACCCAAATGGCAGCTAACAACCATCCCATAATTCCAGTTCCAGGGGATCTGACACACTCTTCTGGCCTCTGCAGACACTACACAACACAGGTGCACTTACATACATGCAGGTAATATACTCATATACATAAAATACAAATAAATCAAAAAAAACTTAAAATTTTTTTTAATTTTAGAAAAAAAGTATAATCAAATTCATTGCAAATCATAGCATGTTGTTAGAGAAGGGATTAAATAGGATGAGTAACATAACCTACCTATTACCA